GCTGGACAGTGTACTTCCACCAATAGAATTACACCAGCCAACTGATTGTAATTGTTTTATTTAACCAATAAATCCTGTTTGCCCTGACAGACATTCATACACACCGAATGATGGAAGAAGCGCCCAGTGGTAGCAGTGTTGATGGTGAAACTGAAGGAGGGGCAGTGAATGTAGAAATTCAGCACTATCACAACACTATATATATATATATATATATATATATATATATATATATATATATATATATATATATATATATATATATATGTATTCACTACTGTGTGATGCATTACAAGGATTTATACTGATCAAGTAGATCAACCAGTTATCTATGCTCAAATGATCAACCAGTTGTCTATTATTTTACTCTGCCTAACACCAGATTATTTTACTGTCTAACACTAGACTCATTACTCATCAGGGAAAGAGTGCTACCACTCAATGGGTTAAAAACATTCAAACAAAATGTTTGGCAGAAGATGCAAAATTGTTTATTGGTGTCTGGTGTGATACTTCTTTTATCTGTAAGGATAGACCTGGGGAGTTTCTAGTGGTACAGTCTTGTTTTCCTGTACTGCATGTGTTTTCCTCACTTCCCTGATTCTACCAAAAGTATTGTATCCCATGGACACCATCTTATCAGTCGACAATCTACCGCAAACCTCCGACCATAAGCCCTGGGCTTATATTCTTTCGTAAACGATTTTTGATGGGCTTACACAAGGGGGCTTATACATGGACAATCTTTTGTGTTAGTAATAAACAAGTCAGTCATAAACAGGAAAATAAACGTGTATTAATAACACACTTTGATTAACATAGTAAGCTATAAAGACAATGAGGGGGGCTTATAATCAGGGGGGCTTATATTCAGGGTGGGGCTTATATTTGGGGGGGGGGCTTATATTTGGAATGAGGTGAGCGTTAGTACATGTGGTGGGCTTATACATGGGGAGGGGGGCTTATACATGGGGGCTTATATTCGGAGGTTCACAGTATGTATGGTTTTCGTGGTTTTCAGTGTAGTGTTCCCTTGCTCATCACAAATTAATAAAAAGATCACACACTACATAATTGATGTTGATAAAATTGATATATTTTAAATCAAAAAATATTAACATAATATTACTGTACTTAAAGAAAATTAAAATGTTTTTAAAAATAAAATTTTATGCACAAAAGTAAAGAGAAGTTTTTAAAATGTTGCATCACATTCAATTCATTTCACCAGTACACATGAATGGTATATGATGAAGTATATGAAAGGTGATGCTTTTGCTCTAGAGATATTACATAATTGGTAAGCCTCTTCAATCATAATCATTTGCATGATTGTCTGCAACAGATATAAATTCAATGAATGCTTTATCTTCTTCGAAATATGTCCATTTATGAAGTTTTACTGGGAATTTCTTTGCAGGAGTCGGTTTAATCTGTCTGATAGGAAACTACAAAACAAACAGCAAAAGTGAGAGGGGCAATCCGGCAATGTCAGTGCCAGGCTGCCTACCAGCACAATTAGACAACAACAAAGAAACTCATGGATTTTTACCAGGATTGTGGGCATGCTTCTCCAGGAAATTTGTGTACTATAGGTTTTCTGGAATGCCACTCCCAGCATTGAAAAATGATATTGGCGTACAGGTGGACAGAAATTGCCCGACATTGTCATGAGTTTATTGATAGATGAACAAGAGGTATAAAATAGAAGGAACACATCTCTCCTATACAGACTTGCAGAAATACTAAACACTGACAGTGACTGGAGGGGTTGCAACGCCCAGCCTCATATGCCTATGGACAGAAATTCTCCCAGGCAAAAAAGCATTAAAATACAATGTTACTGTTACTATGATAATACCTTTTAGCATAATATTTAACATATTGTCTTATTAAAAATATACAATTATGTTTTTGTGTAGTCGTACTGTATTTTATGAATTATGTTTGTAAAAACCTTTGTACTTTTACACCTTGGCATTGGTGATGTTCCAGGACTCTGAAACAAAGTTCGGCTTGATGTTGAATTCTTCGAACGAGAAATTCTGTGTCTCTTATTATTAGGTTTCCCTGGGGTATCACCTTCACTGAAGTATATACCCGTTTTATAGCAGTATCATAACTGTCATTTCCAGTTTACTCCAAAATAGCCGAATTGTATAATAAAATGAAAAAAAATACAGTCAGTGCAGGTACAGTAAACATATAAAGCATATCTAACCTTAGAAATTACATTAAACTTAAAATATGTAGGAACATATATGCACATGTTTCAAAATTATCATGGAAAATAGTGATTTAGTACAATAGTTTCCTTCGCGCCATGATGATTATCAGGAGGTATATTCCCGCCATCGGCGATAGAATATAGCGAAAGTACCCCATTTTCAAACCGCGATTACTTGTCGGTTTAATGGAGCAAACTCATGTTTTAAAGTAACAGTAGAAAGAAAAAATCTTCCCGAATTCGATGACGTGTTTTGTTTTTATTTTCCTAAAAAAAAGTGAGTTTGCTTCTGCATTATATCAAGGTGATTTTATTGGCGTGTCCACTGACCCGAATCAAGCATAATTACAATACGTAATTAGCATAAGTAAAAAGCAATTCCTGTACCAAACAAGTCAAAAATAGTTTAATTAGGATCTTAAATAATACAAATATAAAAACATACCTTCGAAAAAACGAGATAAACGGAGCCAAAATCGCAATGTATTTCAACAACTTTTCGCCAAATGTTCGTTGAAAATCGTAATTGTGAATAATAATGAGACGCAATGCATTGTGGGAAGACCCTCATTCCTCCTCTGGAACTATAGGTTTTCTTGGTAGTGGCGTTCGTATAGAAACGCAGGCTTCTGATTGGCTTACACTCGTTGACAAAATTACTAAAAATAGCAAATGTCAACAACAGCATTTTGAAGAATTTGAACTTTATTCATTTTAATATTATATATTATAAGACTATCGAACAAATAAAACTAGCAAAGCATCACAACAAAAAATCTATCATAAATGACTTGAATCTATATATCGCTTAAAACCAATATACGAAACTATAACAGTATTCTGAACTTCGTCTTCGGATTGACATCAGACTATAGTATAGTACATTTTGAGGTCGTCGTGGCTTCACGGATTATTCTCATTAGTGAGCAAGTCAGCAAGCGAAGGTATACAAAAGATACCCAAATATGTACGAATAATTATATTGTTGATCCTCGCTGGCATGTCATTTAGATATAAATATATATCGTACATTAAACGCTGTACTATTTACTGTATAAACTGCTGACAATTTTGTCGTCGATACGGCTTCCGCCACTATGCTTCCACTATTGGCACACTCGTGATTTCGAAGAAATTAATAAATACATGCTCATTTATCATTTATTTAGACCACAGTTAGTAAAATTTTAGACGTATTTGGTATTCCAAATCCCAATCTATCTGACCGTATTTTAGTAATAGCTTCAAATATTCAGAACATTGTTCTTTCAGTCGCACATAGTACAAGTATTACTGTACATTGATTCAATGCCAATGGTAGTATTTTTTTCGGCTTTATATTTGTATGTGTATTGATATCTATTTAATATTTGAAGAATTCTATATTTTTCCGAGTAATATTTTGTGCGCGGCCCGCTAATGCTTTGTATTATTGTTCATATAGACATTATCTATACATTTTAATATTCAGTATTTCTTCGTTGCACAATGTACACGCCTTGCGTCAATTTGACAGTTGACAGTTTATTTATCGCAGTCGACGCTGATTGGTTCGCGTTTAGCAGATGCGAAAAGGGGATGATTGAATAAAATGCATGGTTCCGTGCAGGCTCACCTTTCTTCCAGTGAGCCTGTTCGCAGGCTACGTACGGTCTGCTTACTTTGGCTAGCAATTCGCCTTCCCATTGTATTCCATTAGCCAATAGCATTCAAATACACTAGACACGCCCACTTTGAATGTCAACTGTAAAGTGTAAACAAGTAACAAGGAGCGTGCGATAATCGAATAATAATATATACGTTAAATGGCCATAGATGTGAACAGATCGAGTTTTCTGATCAATAGCAGTCGAAGTAGAAAATATTGAATTTTTTTCCAACGAATGTACGCGATAGGTCGAAGGCTTAAATGTATATAAAACGGCTATTCACTGGCAATACCTGTTTTGAACTTGACGCGACAGCGTGACGGCATGTATATTCAATATATACTATAAGTTTCCGAACGTTCAATATCAGAGCGACTTTTGTAATTACGCTTTTATTAAACTTTATAAACTGGCTAGTCATATACAAACTTAGAAACCGAAATATGCAACGAATCAATTCAGTATTTTATATAGGCTGAATTCTGTAATCTTCAATTAGTATTTATAAATCTATTATCTACACCCGCAGTAATGTACACTGTAACTTTATAACTTTGTCTTGACGTCTTTGTCCAGTATATTACCCGTGTTACAGTAACACCTGCAAACGCTTGTAAAGTAATCAAAACATCGCGAAATATTTTAGGTGATATTGTTCGATTTTACTACACTGTCTGTTCAAAACAATAGCTCGACAAATTCTAACAGATTTTACAATTGTTCCATATTGTAAACTTGTAGACAGGTATATGTATAACATCTCTCAGCTCTCGCAGATAATCGGTTTAAGATATGAATACGTACAAATGAAGATATGAAATGTTGAAGATTAAATGTTTTGAAACTTTTGACGACCCAAGCCTCAAGGTTAAAGATCAAGTCCCACAATTTTCGTGGGTAAAGCTGTGATTGGCTAATTTTAAGGAAAGGAATTCATGGCCAAAGTACGGCGGCCCAGACGCGACAGCAAAAAACAGTTTTTGTATTTTTAGATTTTTTGATTTTTGTATTTTTTGATTTTTTGATTTTTGTATTTTTTTATTTTTTTATTTTTTTTATTTTTGTATTTTTTGATTTTTTGATTTTTTTTTTATATATATTTGGATTTTTTTAATGTTTAAATACCTTGTCAAGTTCGTTCTGCAAATCAGTTCTGTTCATAACAAAGGGCGACACACAGAAATAAATCAGTTGCCCAAATTTTGCATTTTTCGAACTGTTTTGAATTGAAACGTAGTATAGAGCGATCGTTTTTGAAGCAATTTAAAATACAGTGCCGATGTCTTCTTTATTATCAGACCTAAAGAGTAAAGATATTCGGCTTCGCCTCCTATTTTATATCTGATAAAACACTGCTGATCATGTATTAAATAGTACTAAAAAAACTCATTTAGATAAACTTTAAGTTAAATTTTCTCACCAAATATCATTCATTGAATATTTAAAATTGTTGAAGAATAAGAATGTTCTCAAACGTTTGATCACAAGTCATACGAAGTATCGCGTACATGTTGTGACATTGTTGTCCCAGACATACACGTACCTCTTGTCTTTGGCTCAAGTTTGTACATTTGATACAACACGGCCGCTCATGCTTTATCTAGATTGTAGACATAAAATTTACATCTGCAGTGCGTGTTTTATCAGACTTATAAAAGATACTCGGCTTCGCCTATAGTACTTCAAACTTTTGAAGACCATGCATGTCAAGTCCGCGTAATGTAAATAAATCCTTCGACGCTTTGTTTATATTTTGGACTGCTATATATTTGTAAAATAAGACATACTATTAACTAAATATCTAGCAGTTTTCTGGTTCGCTATTGTAAATGAATATAAACTAGAGTACGGTCTTGGCGAAGTAATTTTCAAAAAATACGTTGTGTAAGTCGAGAAAATCAAAGTTAAAGTTTATGTAAATCAAGGGAAATCTCTATCACATGTAAACGACACGCTTATGTTATGATTTTTCTTTGTGTTTTCCTCACAAATTTACAATGAAAATACAAAAAGTGTCCCACTTCCGCTTCTGTAGTTTGTTGTGATTTACTGTAATTTGTTCTGTTTTTCTGTAGCGATTACCGATTTATTGGCAAATACTGCGATAAAATTTAAATTCCGTTCCTTTTGTGCAATGAAACTAACGGAAAATGTATTATTTCCCTTTGCTACAAATTATCATATTTAAAAATAGAAAAAAACTAAGTTTTATCGCGGTATTTGTCGATAAATCGGTAATCGCTACAGAAAAACAGAACAAATTACAGTAAATCACAACAAACTACAGAAGCGGAAGTGGGACACTTTTTGTATTTTCACTGTAATACGTTTTTGAAATGTAAATATCAGCCTGCGTAGAAGGCGGTATTCGCGGGCTTTTTTCCTGACCTCGAACGAACTTCAAACTTTTATTTTCAAACTTTTATTTTCAAACTTTTATTTTCAAACTTTTATTTTCAAACTTTTATTTTTAAACTTTTATTTTTAAACTTTTATTTTCAAACTTTTATTTTCAAACTTTTATTTTTAAACTTTTATTTTTAAACTTTTATTTTCAAACTTTTATTTTTAAACTTTTATTTTTAAACTTTTATTTTTAAACTTTTATTTCTAAACTTTTATTTTTAAACTTTTATTTTCAAACTTTTATTTTTAAACTTTTATTTTCAAACTTTTATTTTTAAACTTTTATTTTTAAACTTTTATTTTTAAACTTTTATTTTTAAACTTTTATTTTTAAACTTTTATTTTTAAACTTTTATTTTCAAACTTTTATTTTTAAACTTGAACAGGAATATAAAGTCTGGACAAGAGTATTAGTGTATAAATAAATAAGGGAGTACATTTATTATGCTGAAGGGTGGGGGGGGGGAGGGTGAAGATGTTAAGGGGGGCATCGAAATATTCTCTGGCAATCTGGCATTAAACGGGGGGCTCGATATACTGACGGTGGGAGGAGCGTAGCTCTAAACTTTTCAAAGTTTTGGTCCAGCAGGATCCTGGGGTGTTCACTCCCACATAGTTAATGGAATAGATGGTTTGAAAACTCCCCCTACTGTGAAATTCAGGCAAAAATATGTAAAATTCAAGTTAAAATTTTGACATTTTCAGGTAAAATTTGCGTAATAAAGTAATTATTTTTGTGAAATGATAACCATTTTTGTAAAATACAGTCAATTTGCATGATATTTGTTTGCGAATTTGCTTTAAAACACGCCAGAAATTCAGTCGTAGAATGTAAACATTTTCTGGGGGAGGACCCCCAGATCCCCTTTTTCTCCCGAAACTTAATATGAGAGTGCCAATCAATCACAAAAAGCTTTATTATTATTATTACATGTATAATCCCCCAACATCCCCCCCCAAACGTCAGATGCTTTGCTAGGTCCCCTGATGGTTGTATTCGAAACCGATTTCAGTTTCAAGATATCCTTAGTCTGCTCTTCTATAAATGGATACATGAAATCACCTATAGCTCACTTAAATTTTTTTGGCACCAATCTAAAATGTTTTTTTTTAAAGGGTGCCATTTAATCTGGCGCTAGTGAGGTGAAAGAAGCAGTAGGTCGGTATTTTAGTTGAGGAGAAGTACATGCTTGAGTATATCAGACATCTTGAGGAGCTGCAAATTGTATATATGATGCCTACGATAAGAGAGAATTCCGGATTGTACTGCTTCAATTCCGAATTCTGGAGGGGGGGCATTGAAAATTTTAGAAACTTGGAGGGGGGCATCGGAAATTTACCAATAATCTCAACAGGGGCCCTGTAAAAATATGAGCTTTTTTTCAAGACATATCCATCTCCCCCCACCCCCCCACCCACCCCCCACCCTTCTCGGCATAATAAATGTAATTTCCCTAAACAGTGATCATGTATATATATTGTAGTATAAACTTGATATATGTACAATAAAGTATTCTAAACCAGAATGCGGTACACCACACACGTCGATTGGACAACTAGTAGCTTAAGAAAAGTTTTCCCGTAATACCATAACGCAATGGCACGTTTTTGACCAAATTTTTTTAAAAAAACATCGAAATCTCTAAACAAGAAGGGCACCTTTGATGTTAATTTAGTATTTACAAGAGACATTAGCTTGTACAAAAAGGGCACTTTTCATCACAAAAAGGGACACTTTTCGTCCTTTGAAACAATTTGGGAGGGAGGGCACGCGCTCCCTCTGCCCCCCTCTTCCTACGCCCCTGATTCTAAGACCACTTGATCCCGAGATTGAAGGCTTTATGTAGATGAACATTTCGAGTGGAAGATTCATATATATTTAATTTAGACCTATAACCAGCTGCGGAAAATAGAACTATAGCAGGAATCGAACCTACGGCCCCGCAATTCGTTGCAGTGCTCTAACCAACTGAGTTATAGAGTTCAGTTGTCGAGCTCCAACCACAAGTTCTTGTTTATATACAGTATATAGTACAGGTGATGCCATTATATAAAATATGAACAGATTGAAAGATTTATGTAGGATGGAAATTTCAAGCACAAATTTCAAGAAAAATCCCAAGCGCAAATTGAGATTTACAGCGTCATATTCCCAAAAATCTCTATATTTAGCCACAGGTTCGATTCCTGTCAGTTGACAGCATTTTCGCAGCTGCTCCTGTAGTTAAGTCTGTAGTTAAGTCTAAAATTGTATATATTGAATCTTTCGTTATGAATTTCCATCTACTGCATGCAGGATCGCCGGGAGAGAGGCAGAGTGGAACTTTATCTCGGGTGGGGCTCGCAAAACAAGGGATCAACCCTTAAAATTTATTGATGCAAGATTGATGAACTCAGAATATAAATCCCAGTACCCACATGAATAATACATCTAAAAATCTCAAAATATTAAGAAAATTGTCGGCAAAAAATAAACGATTTTATGTCCGCAAAATTTTTTCCGGCACCAAATGAACCATTTAATTTGTCCGGCGCCATATGTCGTGAAAATTTTTTGATCAAGATTATACGTATAGTGTAATTTACAGCATGAGTTCCACATTTGAATTTTACTATACGAGTAAATTGTTAAACGGGTCCGAATTTATCAACATGATAAATGCCAAATTCGCGGCCCTAACCCTTAACCTTAATTTTGTGTTACACAGCTTCGATCATGTTATATATACCCATTATCAGTAACCTTGCCCGCTCATTCAAGTGCTACAGTATCTATATCTATACTGAAAAAAAAATCAATCCAAAAATAAAAAAACAAAAAAATAAAAAAATACCAAAATCAAAAAATCAAAAAATCAAAAAATACAAAAATCAAAAAATCAAAAAATCAAAAAATCAAAAAATACAAAAATCAAAAAATCAAAAAATCAAAAAATCAAAAAATACAAAAATCAAAAAATCAAAAAATCAAAAAATCAAAAAATACAAAAATCAAAAAATCCAAAAATACAAAAATCAAAAAATCAAAAAATACAAAAATCAAAAAATAAAAAAATACAAAAACTGTTTTTGTGCTGTCGCGTCTGGGCCACCGTAGGTTTTTATAGTTTCTATTCAACGCTATATTCCCTTTCCACGAGATAGTGCAATGCTAGTCCCATATACGTATATTAACCATGCACTGATATAAAACCTGTACAGCAGCATATATTTCAGTATTTTAGAACACTAACCGTATTTCACCACCCTATCTCTTTCCCACTTTAA